CCTCTTCCTCAGGCTGCTCGGAATTAATCGGGATTTTGCTCTTCTGAGCGCCGGGAATTTTAATTTTGAGTGTTTGAAGGCTTTTCCTTGCCAGATTCCTTCCCGATTCCCCTCCCACGGAATCCAAGGGTTTGAGCCCGCAGCTCGCGGGAGGCAGGGCCGGGATGCAGCTCCCGGAATTCCAGGAGGATCCTTGGAGCTCTCCACACATGCCGGGATGCACCAAACCTCCGGGAAGTTTAGGCTCAGCTTAAATCCCAACATTTACCGAGTTTAAATTTGATTAATTAAATTAGATTTGCACCCTGAGCCGAAAATCATCACCTGGGCACAACCAAGCCCTGAGCCCACAGCGTTCCCTCTGGAATTCCGGAATTCCCAGCTCTTGACCCTCGGCACAACCCGATCCATGGGAGCAGAGTCCATCCCGATCCCTTGGTTATCCATGGATTCTTCCCCACTCCGCACAAAGATCATCCCAGAGATCCCCGGGCGAGGGAGGAGCAGGAGATCCTTGTGCAGGGCTCAGGGAAGAGTTAAAATTCCCAAGGATCCGCAGAACTCCTGGAGCAGGCGCTGGAGGAGCGCAGCTGCCCCTGAGCCAGCGCATAATTCCTGCCCTGTTCCCAGGGAAGCTTCCCTGGCACAAAGTCGGGAATTGTGCGGGGTTAAAGCACCCCGGACAACGCCGGCATTCACCCAGCGAGGCCGGCGGCGCATCCCGCCGGGAAATCTCCTCCATGGAAGTACAATCCATGGAAATATCCTCCGTCTGGGAGCGCCGATCCAGAGATTTCCCAACAAGGAGCCGGCCCTTCCAATGAGCCAAACTCTCCCTCCGAGCGATCTCATTTCCCCGTCCCTCCTCTCCTCCTTCCAATCCACTCGATCCATAAAATGTTGGGAAAGGCCAGGTCAGAGCGGCTGGAGGCCACTCCCAGCTCCAAAGGCAGCGCTCCTTAATCCCTCCGGGATCGGAGCGCCCGGGAATTACCCCCAGCATCACAAAGAGGCGGACGCAGGGGAGGAAAATCTTTCCCAGATCTTTCCCAGATCATTCCCAAATATTTCCCGACACCCTCTGCCCCTGCTCTAACCTCCGGCGGGATCCAAGGAGCTCCAGCAGCTCCCAGTCCAGCTGGATCCTGGGAAAAAGGGGCAGCTCCAGGCTTTGGGATGCCAAATTCCAATTCGGTTCTTTAGAAAACCTGCAGCTGCAACGAGGGCTGAGGCCCTTGGATGACATCTGGTGCTTGGATCAACCAGGACCATTTCCCTGGAATTTAACACCTTAAATACCTTCCATTCCAGGCATTTTGAACCAGCAATGGGGAAACGCTTGGAAATCTTATCGTTCCCAATGGGAAAATCCCTGGAAGTCTCGTTGTTCCCAGTGGGAAAATCCCTCGTTGTTCCCAAGGCTGTGGGCGCTTCTCCCAGAATTTTGCATGCCCGGATTTGGTGCAGAGCCTCGGGAAGGCTCTGATATTCCTGGGAATGGTCAGCACTCATTCCATTTTTGATTCCTGGAGGAATTCCGAGCCATCCCGGGGTTTCCCGCAGCTGCGGATGGGATGCCGGGACCTGTTCCCTGCGGGAGTTGGGTAAAGCGGGGTCGCTGTCACCCCCAGATCCCTCCCCTGTCACTCCTGGTGTCCCCAGACATGGAAAACATCCTGGGGCTCCGCTCTGCTTAATTCCAGCTGAAATCATGGGAAAATCCCTAAAATCCCGGCCAGGAGTGGATAAACCCCAGCCCAGTGACCCCGGAACACAAAAGGGGGCTGCACCCCCTGCGTGACCCCCCATGGGAGCAGCGGGATCCCCCCCAGTGGATCCGATCCCCCCCAGTGGATCCCACCGCTGCTCCCAGATTCCTGTGACCACCTGGAATCCTCCTCCCTGGCTCAGGAAGTGTTGGCTTTGCCGGGATCCCCACCCCACCACAGCCTCACCCCAGCGAGGTCCCCCCATTCCCAGGATTTTTCCAGCCCCCACCCCAGAGGTGCTGGAAGCGCTCAGGCTCTCCAGGCTCCCATCCAGGAATTCTCTGGGCTCTTCCTCACTCCACAGGGCACAAAATGAGACCCCAATTCCCTGGTGAGCCCCCCCAGCCGAGGCAGCCCAGGAACAAACACAAAAATCCCTTCTCCGCTCTCCCAAAATTCCCATTTTTTGCTGAGCGGCCTCTGAGCCGTTAAAAACTCCCCGTGCCCACGTTGGCCTCTCCACGGAGCCGTTTTTTAACTCTGGAAATTGGAAGTTGGGTGAAAGGAGAACCATCACGTCCCAAATCCCTACATTTTCTGCTTTATTACCAGCGCAGGCCATGCGTTATTGAAAGGGGAGGAAAAGTGCAGCCGCACGGATCTGGAGCTGCTCTCCATCCTCCGGCCAGGAAAACAGGGAGAGCTGAGGAGCTGCACGAATTCCCAGCGATTCCAGCAGCTCTGCTCTCCCTCGTCCCCTGAGGAACGTGACACAGGGCTGGGCTGGGCCTGCCCTGCTCCCAGTTCTCCCAGTTCCGTGCTGGTTTCCCGTTCGGATCCCGGTTTTCCACGGCAGCGCCAGCATTCCGGCGGAACAGAGGGAAGTTACGGAGGTGCTGCCCAGCCAGGCAGCGCGGCCCGTTCATCCGGAGTTTGGGATGAACTCGGAATCAGCAAACGGGGAATTTGTTTCGCGTTCCAAGGCGGCGGAGCAGCTCCCTGGGTGGGCACGGGCGGTGCCAGCACCTTCCCGCACCTCCGGAGCCACGGGAGCATCCAGGGCTGGAAAACAGCCCGGGAGAGCCGTGCCAAGGACAGGTGGGATGAGCCAGGGAGGAGCCGGGAGAAGCTGAAGCAGCAGCCGGAGCCTGAGGGATGGGGCTGAGCCACCTGCAGGGCTGGGAATATCAACAGGGAGCAGGGATGGATTCCAGGCTGCTCCTCTCCCTCGCCACCTTTCTCATGGAGAGGCTCTGGAGCTGTGCCCGCTCCCAGAGGAGCACAGAACAAGGAACAAGTGTTAACACAAGACACCTCCCCGCCAGCACCGCGCACGGAAGCAGAGCTGCGAGGCTCTGGAAATCTTCAATAAAAGCCAAAAAAAAACTTGTTAAAATCCCACCAAAAGGCACCAAGATCCAGGCAGGTTCCCTCTCCCAGGCTGGGGCTCACTTTGGATAACCTACAGGCTCCAGCCTTCCAGTCCTCCCTTCCCAAAATGGCCCTGCTGCTCCGAGCAGGCTCCTCGGGGGCTTGGAACATTTTATTTTTCCATTTTTTAAAATTTTTTTTTTCGGTCCACATTCTCGAGCCGACCTTCAGCAGTCGACGAGGACACCCGAATTTCCAGGGAGCTGCCCCCGCTCTCGGCAGCCCCTCGCTCCCCCGGCCTTCACCCGAATCAGCCGTGAGGAGGAGAAAGCAGCAGCGCCCAAGTCTCACCACAAAGCCCGTGTGCCAAACCTCGGAGCTGAGTCGGCATCTCCTCCCTCCAGCCCCCACCGCGCTCTCCCTGAACAAGCCCTATTCACGGCAGCCGCTGCCGTTCCCGAGCATCCAACAATATCTGCCTGTGTGCCGGGGGAGGCAGGGAGCCGCTGCCAGCGCCACTTCCAGCGCATCCATCCATCCGTCCATCCACCGCGAGCTCTGCCCCTCAGACATTCGCAGTCACGTCCCAAATTTTGCAAAATTAAGGATTAAAAAGAATAAAAAAAAGGGGGGGGGGGGGAGGGGATGAGTCTCTAAGTGAGGCTCCCTTCCCGGTGGGAAGCGAGTGTGGAAGTGCGGGAGCGGACGGGATCGGAGGAGCGAATGTCACACGAAGCGTTTACTGGGAGATTGATGGATCTCCTTCCTCAGCCTCGAGTGCCAGAGCTGCCGGCAGCACCGCACCGCCGCCGGGCCCCGCCGCGCCGCTTACATAACCCCCCCGGCCCGGGAACGGGGCTTCACCGGGAACGGGGCAGCGACGGGAACGGGGCAGAGCCGGGAATGGGGCAGAGCCGGGAATGGGGCTTCACAGGGATCGGGGCTTCATCGGGAACGGTGCATCACCGGGAATGGGGCATCACCGGGAGAGGGGCTCCATCGGGAACGGGGCATCGCCGGGAAGGGATCGAGGGTTCACAGGGAACGGAGCATCACCGGGAGCGGGGCAGTGTCGGGAACGGGGCATCACCATAACGGGAGAATCACCGGGGCATCGCCACAACCGGGGCATCAACGGGACCGGGGCATCACCGGGACCGGGGCATCGCCAGAACCGGGGCATCACCGGCACCGAAGCATTATCACTGCCCGGGCATCACCGGGAGCGGCCACAGCGCGGCCGCGGCATCGCCAGAACCGGAGCATCACCGGCACCGGGGCACAGGGCAGCATCCCGGCCGCGCAGCCCCGCGCTCCGGCGGAGCGCCCGGCTCTCCCCGCCGCTCGGCTCCGGGCACGGCCGAACCGGGGCCACCTCGAGGTCGCGGGGGAAGCAACAAGACCGCGGCCCCAGCGCGGAGCGGGCGATGCCGCCGGTGATGTGCAAGTCACGGGCGGGGGGCAGCGGGGCCCGGGGAGCGGAGCCGCCAGCCCGCGGGGTCCGCGCGCCCCCGGCGGAGCCCCGGGAAGTTTGCGGCGCCTTCGCCCCCGCCCCTGGCTCCGCGGCCGCGGGCGGCAGCGCCGCCGGTAACAAGTGCGGCGGCCGTGGGCGCGGAAGAGCCCCACGGAGGCGGCGCCCACCCGCTCCGCCGCGGCGGCCAGCGCGGCCCGGGACCGGCCGCGGCCCCCCCTGCGCCCCCTCCTCGACCCCCAGAATCGCCCCCTCCCCCGCCCCCCGGCCCGGTTTGCGCCGTGAAATGTCAGCGTCTCATGGCAACGCCGCTGCCTCCGCTCTGCCTCCGCCGGCTCCCGCGGCGCGCAGCGGGGCCACGCCGCTCGCCCCCACCTCCTCCCCCCCGCCCCCCCGCCCTTCCGCCCCGGCGACAGTCGCGACAAGGTCACGCGGCGCCCCGGACTCACCGTACACCCCTTGGCCGGAGCTGCCCTCCAGCAGAACCGTCAGCAGCCCCAGCAGCCCGATCGCTACATCCATCTTCACGTGAGCATCCACATATCCAGCCCGGCGGGGCGGGGGGGGGCAGCGCAGCGCCCGCCGGAGCCCCGCGCTCCGCTGCGGCCGAGCCGCGCACGCCCGCGCAGGCAGGGCGGCGGGGGCAGGCGGCGGGCACCGCGCCGGTCCTCCTCCTCCTCCTCCTTCCTCCTCCGCCTCCGCCTCCTCCTCCTCCTCCTCCTCCTCCCGCTGCGCAGCGGGCGGCGCGGGGCGAGCCCCGCTCAGAGCGAGCCCCCGGCAGCGGCAGCCCCCGCACCCCCTCCGGGCCGCGGCCCCCTCAGGGCTCCGGCCGCCGCCGCCGCCGCCTCCCGGGGCCGCCGAGCGCCGCGCGGGGCCGCCGCAGCCGCCTGCGCCCCGCGGCCATCAGATGCCACCGCGGCGCCGCGGCCCCCGCATGGTGCGCGGGGCCCCCCGCGCGGCGCGGAGCGGAGCGGAGCGAGGGGGGAGGCGGGGGCGGCGCGGGGCGGGGGCGGGCGCGGGGCCGCGGGGAGGCTCCGGCTGTGGCGCTCCGGGGAGCGGCCCCCTCCTCTCAGCGCGGCTGCGGGGCGGTGGCCGGGCCCATGGCGGGGGCGGCGCGGGGCTCCCGCGGCCGCGCTGGGTGCGGGTGCGCTGCTGTGCGAGAGCGGGGGAGCGGGCGCGAGTGGCGGCGGCGGGGCCGTCACGTTGTGCTTTACGTGCGGGGCCGGCAGCCGCAGCCCGGCGACGTCAAAGCTGCGTGGCTGCTGCTGCTGCTGCGCGCCTTCCTCCGCCTCCTCCTCCTCCTCCTCCTCCGTCGCCTCCGCCGCCGCCCCCCGTGGCCCCGCGGCTCCGCCACCGCCGCCGGGCGCGCACGGCCGCTGGCGCTGCCAAGGAGGGATGCGCGGCGAGAGCCGCTCCTCTCCGGGATGCGCGGAGGGCTGGGAGCCGCGCTGTCAAGCCGGGATGCGCGGAGCGCTCTGACCCGCATGGAGCAGGGGTTGGGGGTCTGAGCCGCTCTCTCCCGGGACGCGCGGAGCGGTGCGGCTGACACGGAACCGCGTTGGGCGGGGCACCCCGCTCTGTCCCGGGATGCGCCGTGTGGCCGCTGCGGTTCCTTATTGTCCCGCTCCATCCCGGGATGCGCGGTGCGGTCCCTCTCCGAGCCGGGATGAGCGGTGCGGTCCCGCTCCGTGCCGGGATGAGCGGTGCGGTCCCGCTCCGTCCCGGGATGCGCGGTGAGGTGCGGACGGTGAGGGGCGCCCTGAGCCCACGCTGCGCTCCCGGCCCGAAGGGTCCGTCCCGCTCACAGTTCTGGGCTCCCCTTCCCCACTCCGAGCCTGCTGTCCCCCGGTGTCTCCCTGTCCCACCCCGCTCCCTTCCCTGCCCCGTTCCGGGGCACCGCCGGGCTCAGACCCCGCTGCTTCCCCAGGCTCCAGTGGCTAAACCCCGGCGCTTGCTCCAGGCTGTGTCCCGGGGCACTGGGATAGGGGCAGCCAGCGCCCGGGAGTGACAGAGGGCACAGGGAGGTGACAAAGCAGCGGCTCCCTGTGTCTGATCCAGCTGGGATCAGCCTCAGCGGCTGCGTTATTCCCCCTTCGGCGACCTCGAGTACTTGAGACCCCTGACTGGCTCCCAGCACCTTCCCAGCCTGCCTGATGTCCCTGCGGTTTGGGATTTGTGCTGGTCAAAGTCTCTTCTCTCCAATCCCTCAGAACAAACCAAGATTTTTTTGTGGGAAAAGGCTGTCCCTGTCCTCTTCCCTTTTTCCTTGATTTCTCCAAGGATTGCCCCAAAGCTGTGGGCACCTTGGATGTTAACGCCGCTTCCTCTGCCTGCATCAGTGAGGGATTCTTGCTCCAGGACAGTGACAGCGCTCTGCAAGGGACAGCCGCACTCTCAGGGCTCCTGTGACCCCACAGGACACTGCTAACGAGGCTGGGGCTCTCCCAGTGCTCTCCTGAGCTTTTCCATCGTTTCCACGAGATGATCCAGCGCGTTGCTCTGCTGTGCTTCCACCCCCAAAGGGCTCAGAGCACCCAATCCGTCATGGGAATTTCAGCAGGGAGCTGAATTCGGTCCCAGCTGGAGCTGTTCCCTATTCCCAGCCTGGTGAGAACGTGGGAAGTGGGAGAAGGGATGGGTGCATCCCTTCCCTGCGCCATTCCCATGCTCCCAGAGGCCAAAGCCTGTCCCCAGATGAGGGTGACGCTGAGGTGGCCCGGGGGCTGAGCTCAAATCCCGTGTCCCCCTCAGGGGACGTCGCCCTGCGCCATTCCAGACGCTCTCCCTGCCTCTGGCTGCATCCCATCCCCTTCCCTGCTTGGTCTCCCGTCTGAAGGGACTCCCAGGTGGCTTCTCTGAGTCCATCTGATGCTCCTTTTCCTCTGGTTTTCAGTTCCAAGGAGAACTTGGGGACACCTCCAGGGGTGGCACTGCCAGCGTGACCTTCAGCTCATTCCAACTTCAGCTGCCTTTTGGCTTTTTTCTGCCTTCAGCTCCTCATTTTCCCCCTTTTCTCTGCCACACCTGTGCCCAGCTGGCCCTCAGAGCAACATCTGGGCCACATCTGGGCCGTGCCCATCCCAACCCAGACCTCTGGTCCCTTCCCAGGGATTTTCCCCCCGTTTTCCTTTCTCGTTCCTCCATCCAACCACCCCACAGCACGAACTCCACGCTCCAAAAGCCTTTTTGACCTCTTTGAGTGTTTTCCTCACCTGTAAAGCCCCAACCAGGGCAGGTTTTGGAGGAAAAGCTGGAGTTTTTCACATGGAAACGGTGGGGAAGGTGCCACATTCCCTTGCGGCTGCTCTGCGGGTTGAACATCAAGAACATTTAAAGGGCTGGGCCTTTCTCTCCCTATTTCCAGCCTTCCCGTGGTTAATTCCAAGATCCTCCCAGCACAGCCAGATGTTCTGGGATGCTGAAGGCTGGAATCTGGCTGGAGCAGCCCTGAGGAGGGATGTTGTTAGCGGGTTGTTAGCACACCACTGACAGCATTCCCTGGAAGTTCAGCCCTTGGCACCGCAGCAGGAAAAAGGAAGAGGAAACCTCACAAAAAAAACCAAAACACTTGGAATTGCAGAAAATAATTCCCAGTCTGAATTTAAGCAGGTGCACAAATCTCTGTGGGGTAAGAGCCCAAATTATTTCCATCTCAGGTGTTGGTTTTTTTTTAAGTGTTTGTTCTTAAAAGTTTTACTATTGCAGCTCCTGCTGAGATTTGCTGGAGGATGTTCAGCTGTGATCCCAAATCCAGGAATCTCTCTAGACAGGGCGGAGAAAGGAGGAATTAAAAGAAGTCAGAGCCGATTTTCCTGCGTGTCCCAAACCACTCTCTAGGACGTTGCTCCCTGCTGGAATAATTTAACTGGGAATTGTGAAATTCAGCAGGTCCCAGGATGTTCCCTGGAGCAGCACTGGGGTTTGTGCTCGGGCTCCAGCATCTCCAGAACTTGGGGGAAAGCTTTTCCCAAAGAATGGGAAATTCAGAGCCCCAGGCTGGACTTCACGTCTTCATTTCCCACTGGGAAGGCTCATCCGGTGCTTTTAGCCCCAAAACAAATCCCTGCTTTTGTCCCTGCTCCCAAATCCGTGAGATTTCTCCTCTTACTCAGCCAGGGTTGGCAGAACGTGTCCAGAGATCCACCCACCACACCTGGGATGGGATCCATGGGGAAAAGGGCTGGGAGAGCAGCAGGTGAGGATTCCCAATGCCTGGAGCTGGACTGGGAATCCCTGGAGGAAATCAGGAGATTTGGGATTCATCCAAGGACCCCGCACTCTTGGGATGTCTTGGTCACGGGCAGAGCTCTCCAAACCCACGATAAAACTTGATTTTCACAAAATTCTGGGATTTTTGGCCATTCTCCCTGCACGAGGAAGAACGGAGAGGCTCCAGTGGGATTTCTTTTTTATTCAGGGAAATAGACTGGCTTTGATTGTGTTATTCCAAACAATTCCCAGGGTTCATTTCCATACTGCAACAGGGGCAGCTTCAGCAGCAGCAGTGGTGTGGATGGATAATTTTCTTTACCTTCACAAGAATTCCCTTTTTTCCTGACTTTCCTGCTGATAATGCACAAGGCACTCGTTATTTTTGGAATGTCAGCCATCCTGGAGTTATCCTTCTTCACTCCTTGCTTGTCCAATAGCCAATCCTGGGAAAGGAACACATTTTTAATGAGCTTTAATTTTAATTTTACTTTTAATTTTACTTTTAATTTTACTTTTAATTTTAATTTTACTTTTAATTTTAATTTTCATTTTCATTTTCATTTTCATTTTCATTTTCATTTTCATTTTCATTTTCATTTAAAACCAAATTTTAATGTGATTTCTTGATGATTTCCAGGCTGGAAAATTCAAAGTTTGTTGTGGCCACCCAATGGATTGAGCATCCTTGTTTGTCACTGGTTAATTAAATGTGACCCACTTCATCCCCATCCTCTCCAGGGATTTGCTGTTCCTGTGCCAGGGAATGTTGGCACAGCAGGGCACGAGATTATTTTGATTATTTGACACCACAGGGCTGAGTTTTGCAGGCAGAGCTGGGGGAAAACACACAAAACTAGGAGCAGGAGCATTCACACCCTGCTGAGGAACAGCAGCACAGCGTGGGGAGCCAAATCCTGAACAATTCCATCCTCCCGTGGCAGGGTTTGGAATGAGAGGGGATGGAAGGTCCCATCCAAGCCAAACCCGGGATTCTGTGGTTCCATAATCCAGCTCCAGAGAGGATGTGTTGGTGGTGAAAGGGATTCAGAGGATGCTGAGGCTTTCCAGGAGTTATAAAAATGATGGAGAGGGAATTTTCCATGGGCATGGAGTGAGAGGGAAAGGGGGAATGTTTTAAACTAAAGGAGAGTGGGTGAGGTGAGATATTGGGAAGGAATTCCTGGCTGGGTGGGTGGGGAGGGGCTGGGCTGGAATTGCCAGAGCAGCTGTGGCTGCCCCTGGATCCCTGGCAGTGCCCAAGGCCAGGCTGGACATTGGGGCTGGAGCAGCCTGGGACAGTGGGAGCTGTC